ACACCATCCGTCCCACTTGGTGGCAGGTATTATGGTGGACACAGAAACTCAGGAATGGTTAAGCAAATCACCTGCATTAACAGTGCCTGACCTGGCGGAGGGGACCATCCCAGCTTGAGTCAGATAGACGCGGTCACTAAGAATTCAGCGTATCACCATGTGAAGCTGACATTGAAAGGCGCTCTGAAGAGCATTCAAAATGAGCCCATCCATTTGTGCACTGACTATCTGTTGATGCACAATAAGTACCCCAAATTTAGCAGCTTATAAGGTCAGATATTTATGTCTTACATAGTTTCTAAGGGTCAAGAATCTCAGAGGAGCTAAGTGGGGGTGGTTGTAGCTATAGAGTTGTGTCAAAATATTGATCAAGGCTGCCATCATCTGAAGGCTTGCCCAGAGCTAGGGAATCTGCATCCGAGTTCAGTCACAGAGCCAGCTCTAATCTAGCCTGGCTGTGAGATGGAAGCTTCAGTTCCTCACCCGCACCCAGGGGCCGGCATAGGACCCCCCAAAGCAGCTCATCTCCACCACAGCAGGTGATCCAAGAGAAAGACAGAGCACCACACAGAAGCCACTGAGTCGTTTAAAGCCACCGTAGTGGTGGCACAGGGTCATTTCTGATGCATTCTTTTTCACAGAGACCCACATAGGTCCAGTGTGGGAACGGCACAGAGCATGTGGACACCAGGGGTGGGCTTACTAAGGATGTGCTAGTGACCACTAGCAGAAGCAGCTAGACTGACCTTGGCTGTGGGGCTGGGCACCTGGTCCCCTATAGTTTGAGAAGATGGTTTTAAAAGAAGATGGGAATGTGCCACTAACTCTGAATAAAGGAAAAGCCCATGGGCCACAGGGAGGGAAGGTAGAAAAGGGATGCCCATGTCATCCCTCCCCTCTCCTGCTGAGATGGAACCCAGGGCCTCAGGCATGCTGGGCAAGTACTCTACCACTGTGTGGCTTCTTTATCTCAAACCTGAGAGCTGCGAGCTACAGGGCATTTAAGGAGGTTTGCTCTGTAGAGCAGATGACATGGAGAAGATTTAGATAAAGATGCTTTAGATGCTAGAACTGCAAAGGGCACTACATCGTGTGTGTGTGTGTGTGTGCGTGTGTGTGTGTGCGTGTGTGTGTGTGTGCGTGTGTGTGCATGTGCGTGTGTTGAGCCAGGATCTTGCTTGGTAGAAACCAAAACTAGCTTGTGTTAGTCTTTCTCTTAATGAAGCATAGAGACCTTGACAGTAAGGCACTTTCTGGTTAAGTGCAGCTGCGGTGTCTGGGAGGTGACCAAGTTCAGCTACTCCAAAGAAAGCACTTTTCTAAGGGGAAGTAGCCAAGTTCAGATGCTTAACCTTGAAGCTGGCTGTTTTTCTAGCTTTTGAAGTTTAAAGTGTCTGCTTTATAAAAATGAAATTACTTTGGCTATTACAATTTGTGGGGCTCCATTTGGGGCCATTACAGTAGCACAGGTTGGCCTGGACTCACTACGTAGCACAGGCTGGCTCAACTTCCTGCCTCTGCTTCCTCAATACTGGGCTCACAGGCATGAGCCACTATAACCCAGCAAGAATACACTATTAAGTTGCAGTTTGTTTGCACGCTAAGGTTTCAACTGACTGAACTCTAAGTATGGAGACAGCGTTAGGCTGCATTTAAGAATGTAAACTACAACATGTATTGACACTTTTACTCATTAGATTTCAATAATATTCTCTTTATTTTTAAATTAATTCTGTGTGTTTTTGTGCAAGTGCATACGCATATGTGTCCGTGTGCACGTGGAGCCAGGCAGATTTCCTTGGCTGTCACCCTCAGGAATGTTCTCCATCTAGTTTGAGACAAGGTCTCTCATTGCCTGTAGCTCATCCATTAGGCTAGGCTGCGCGGCTAAGGAGTCCCAGGGATCCGCCTGTCTCGGCCACTGGGGTTACGAGCTCACACCACCACGGCCAGTTTTTGTTTCTGTTTACGTGGGTTCTGGAGCTCAAACTCGAGCTCACCCACTTTTGGCAAGCGCTTTGCTGCAGGAGCCATCTCCCTCGTTCTCACCTTTCATGATATTCTCTTTAATTTTGCGGCTTTGGCCTGACCTCTGGGAGGGGACCACTTTCACTCCTCATGGGTTCGCCATGCTGGACTTTGCCACGCTGGACTTTGGTGGCACCCTTCCTTTGGTCTGTCGTTGGTTCCCCATCTGGGGCGAGTAGACATTCCTTGGTGCTCCCAGGAATAGTTTCACTGGACAGCAACTCTGGCTTCTGGCTGCACACGACCCTCCTGCTCACACCAGTTCCCGCCCACTTCTGGCTGTGAAACAGCCAGAGGAGCTTTGACCAGAGGTAGAAGAGATGGGGTTACCCAATCAGACGTGCAGCCTCCAAAACTGCGCACCCAATAGACCTTTAGAGCGATAGATCCGTGGATAAAGGCTCTTGCTGTCAAGCCTGATGACCTGAGTTTGTTCCTTGGGACCCACATGGTGGAAGGAGAGAGCTCACTCCTGCAAGTTGTCCTCTGATCTCCATACATGTATTGTGGCACGTGTGTACACACACACACACACACACACACACACACACACACAAATAAATATCAAAAAATTTAAATAAGAAGCTGGAGAGATGGCTCAGCGGTTAAGAGCACTGGCTGCTCTTGCAGAGGACCTGGGTTTGATTCCCAACACCCACATGATAGCTAACAACTACCTGTAACTCCAGTTCCACAGGATCTGATACCCTCTTCTGACCTCCATGAGCACTGCATGACACAGGTGCACCTACATACATGCAAGCAACATGCTTGTGCACATAAAATAAAAATAGCATATATTTTTAATTTCAATAAACCTCTTGAAGTTTCCAGCCCTGCGGGAAACTTCTGGAAACTTAAATAGCATATATTTTTAATTTCAATAAACCTCTTGAAGTTTCCAGCCCTGCAGGGCATGATAGAACGTGCCCATCACCCAACATTCTGGAGGCCAAGGCAGGAATATCACTAGTTCAAAGCCAGCCAAGAATATATAGTCCAATCCTGTCTCAATAAAAGTACCCAGCCTCAGGTATTTCACTACAGTGTAAAGCATGGTTTTAGTTTGTTCTCCTAGAATCTGAATAATGGAACTTAGATCACTGGTTCCCTCTTTTCTAGTTGTGCAAAGTTAAAAATTACACTTTAATTACTGTATCAGATTTATTCTGAGACAGGATTCTGCTGTGTAGCCTAGGACCTCATACTCATTATGTCCTCAGACTGGCCTTGAACACATGACCTTCCTGTCCCTCAGTGCTGGGACTGTAGGCATGTGCCGCCATGCCTAAGCTTCATACAGCCTTTGATAGTGTTTTCACATTCATCTGGTTCTGAAGATTTTCCAATTCCCCTCCCTCTTCCTTAACACTGGTGCTGTATGGAAGTCTTGCGTTTAACTTCTAAATTTTTGGAAGGATGTTGAGCACTTAAAAATGTTGATTGACTGTTTGTGTTTCCTCTCTTGAGAACTGCCTGTCCATTTTATTAGCTCATTTGCTGATTGGAAGCATTTTTTTGCTTGAGGTGTAGCCGGCAAAGGTTTTCTCCCATCGCGTGAGCTGTCTGTACGCTTGCAGATGGTTTCTCTTGCTGTGAGAAACTTTTCCACTTCATGTGTTCCCACCTACTGATTCTTGGAGGTAGTTCCTGTGCTACTGGAGGCCTGTTCACAAAGTTCTGCCCTCCACTGATATCTTGAGCATTCCCCGTGTGTTCTTGATCAGCTGTCTTTTCTCACCAGCTGCCCCTCTCCGTGGTGAGTTCTAATTCTGCAGTTCAGTGTCCCCAGCATCAGTACAGTCGCCATCCTTCCTATGAGTGGCATGGTTCTCCTTTTCTTTGTCTTCATATCTAAAGTGGCATCTTACATACACCCCGTGTCTGGCTGTACTCTGACCATATTTGCTTTTAGTTAGAATGATTAGATTGTACACATTTTATTCAATTAGTACTACCATTGGATTTAACGCCACTATCTTATAATTCGTCTTTTAAAAAAAATCAATGTTTTAAAAAATCATGTTTTCCGTCTTAACGTCCTGACTTTGCAGCAGCTATGCCCCCTAAGCATCCTCTTGTGTCTCCCCCAGTGGCTTGTAATTCATGGAGAGCTGATGGCAAGTTGTTAGAGTGGCTGCTGTGGTGCTTCAAATATTCATCTTTGTTTAACCTAATATGTTAGCCTTCAGATGCTGTGGAATTGACACACGCAGGAACCGAGCAGCACTTGCTGCCTCCCCACACCTCTGGTGCTGGGATCGAGTCCAGGCTGTGCACAGAACATTCTTCCCTTCATGGTTAGCACTGTGCTGTTTCTTTGATCTCTCAAAGCATTGGTTGCAAGCCCTGACGATTGTAATTCATGGAGAGCTGATGGCAGGTGCGGCTCAAGTGAAGGAGGGTACTTTCTTTCTTGGCTGTTAGTTTATCAAATGAAAAATGTAGTCCATAGGGAATCACTAGAGTTGCAATGGGGCCGTGGGAAGGAAGCTCAGGAATTATGGGTAAGATCTAGATCTGCCTGAACTCCTCATCCAGACCAACCCACTCCCTTCCCTTGGGGACGTCAACCACTGCAGTCTTCACTACGTCCATCCAAATCTTCATCCAAGCACTTCCCCATCATCCCCTCTCCACCCAACCTGGTCCTGCAGTTAGGGAATAGCCCAGGGCTGCATCAACATTCTCAGATCCTACCCAGGTGGGGTCGCAACCAGCCCTGCTTAAAGCCACACTGCCATTAAACATCAGTCATGTGTGGCCTCGTCCCAGACACCAGTAAGAAGTGTCCCCAGCTCTGAAACACACAAGAATTTATTGGCCTCGGGATATTCTGAGGAAGGAGGCAGCAAAGGGCTCATCAAAAAAAAGCAGGGGCGTGAAGCCCAGGGCCAGGCTGTCTCCATGGTGCTGAAAACAGCAGCCCTTCAAGTCGCCTTCTGTCAATGGGAACTTTACTAAGAGCCGAGTTTGTAAGGCACCAAATAAAGACTTGAAGGTCAGCAAGTCAGTCAGTGTGCAGAGAACACAGCAGCTGGGGAGGGAGTTGAGACAGAGTTCAACGGCAGCTGGGATTCAGGTCTGCCCCAAGTCCATCCTCTCGGGAACTGGGCCTATCACCTGCAACAAGACACACACGGTTACCATCAGTCTAGGGTTCAGGATGCCCAGCTCTGGCCCATCTTTGCCTTTCCCTTTATTTCTGAGGCTTCCCTTCTCTGTCCTGTTCCATCCCAGGGTGAAGGTGGTCACCCTGCATGTGCCCTGGCCCTCCATGTCAGCAGTAGCTAGGGAGCAAGGCAGTCCAGAGGTGACTGAGTTCCACCCCACACTCGAGTGGACGCTCAGAGCATCCTACATTGTTCACACTCCAAAATACCCAGAGAAGGAGACACACTACTGAGGCCAGAGAGGCTCCACTGCGGAGTGATAGAAATGAAGGGGAGCTGTTCACAATGTGCAGAACCAATCTCTGAGACAATTTCAGAGCCAAAGCATATTTGTACATGGTCTCTGTGTGGCACCCAAGCTCCGAGCACGTCCTCCTCCCCAAATCATCATCGTCTTTGCTTTTGTGAAAACACACTCTTTATTCCTTAGTCTTTATTTTCCACCTTCTTTAAATATTTCTCTTGATATTACGTGAATCACGTATTTTTCATTACCTTTTTTATATTTTATTTATTTTTATTTTATGTGTATGAGTGTATTGCCTGCGTGTAGGTAAGTGCACCCGTGTCATGCAATGCTCGGGAGATCAGAAGAAGGTGTTCTGGAACTGGAGTTACAGACAGTTGTTAGTCATCATGTGGGTGCTGGGAATTGAACCCAGGTCCTCTGCAAGAGCAGTCAGTGCTCTTAACCACTGAGCCATCTTTGGGCCCAAGTAAAGACAGTGTGTCAGCACTTATCACACCGTTGTGTCATCATGTGAGGAGAACCATGTTTGAACTCAATCTCTCTTCATAAAGTAGGGAGCATTTGTTAATTTGCGATCAGACTTCCTGGATCTGCACGCTGGCTTCACTAGTCCCGAGCTTCATGACCTGGTGTAGGTGCTCAATGCGCCTGTGTGTATCCAAAGATGTACGTGTATCTCACACACAGCACAGCAGTAGTAGTGTTTCATAGACTTAGTATAAAATGAAATAATAAATAAAAATTCTCAGGATAGTGCAGGAACATAAGTTCTCAATAAAGCATAGTGTTGCTGGTGAGCTGTGCTTTTAACCATAAAGAGATCAACGTACACTTAAACTGAATGTTTCCTCTCTTCTTTCTGTATGGCAGATGCTCAGCTCACTTCTCTTGTCCTCTGACTGCACCCTAACATCCTCACCCCCACGGTTACTCACAGAGGTCCCTGGGCCCGGGGGTCACGGCTAGAGTGCAGAGCCCTTATGATGAACATGGAGCCCACAATGATGCCCACCAGGCCCACCACCAGGCCCAGCGCACAGACCACAGTCTCCGTCGTCTCTGTCACCTGGATTGGCTCCTGCATGTCTGAGGAAAAAGAAGAGATAGAGTTAGACGGTGCCGTGAGAATGGGATGTGGAGGGTCGTAGACAATTTGATGGCATGTTAGAATAAGGTAATAGAGACACTGGGGCACCAGGTCCCAGGAGCAGTGGGTGCAGAGGTTATGGAAAGAAAGCAGCTCTGTACCCCAGTGACTGACGCTCGGCTGGTCCAGGCCCCAGTGCTCTACCCGGCAGTCATAGAAGTCCTCGGCCGTGGGAATGAAGGTCAGGTAATGGAACTTGTGGAATCTGAATTCTGTGCTGGGCAGAAAGATGGTCTCAGAAGCTCCTTCAGTGACGGGCTGTCCATTTCTTAGCCACGTGACATTGAGCACCGGGGGGAAGAACTTGTCAATGTGACAGATGAGGACGTTGGGCTGGCCCAGCTCCACAGGGCTCTTGGGAAACACAGTCACTTCAGGAGGCTCTGGGAGGAGACGGAACCTGGTGAGACCCTGTTCTGATGAGTCACAGATGTCCTACCCTGGGTGTCCTCTACCTCAGGCTCAGACTTATGGCACCTCTGGGGTCCTGAATGAGAGCCAGGAGTCTCCCACTGCTCAGACTCCCTCAGCTCAGCCTCTCATGAGTGGGAAGAGAAGAGGAAGATGGAAGTCCTCCGCCCTGCTTCAGGGAGCCCATGGCCGCTCCAGGAGAGGGTCACTCAGCAGAGGGGATCTGGGTCTCCCATTCCTGGTGTGGGGAAGGGCCTCCCATCCCTTCCCACTGGGTAGCAGAGGAAGCAGATAGGCATACCACTTCTCCCCTGGGTGTGGTTGCTCATCTGGATCAAGGTTTCCAAGTTTGTCTTTGCTATGGCCATATTTGCCAGTCCACCCTGAGCATCAAAGCTAAAGTCTTTGCCAAACTGCTGAAGATGCCAGATGGTCTCCCTCTTGTCCTGATCCACGTAGAATATCTCGTCTCCATCAAACTCATACAAGCACTCTCCAGATGGCTTTTGTGTCTGTGTAAATATGTCAAACATTGCTACATGGTCCGCTGTATAAAGAAAATGGAGAAAAGGACACAAATGGTGGAATTGATGTAAGTGGAGGCCCGAGAAAGACTGGATCTAACAAAGTCAGAGAGGTCAGCGGAAGGAAGCAGGGGAAGAAGGGGACCCAGCGGGAGATAACCAGAGAGAAGGAAGCCAGAGAGGAAGAAGGGGATCCATGGGAAGCCCAGCTGCCTCCTGGTCTGAGCATCCCGACTCAGCAGAGCTAGAGCGACAGTGACGAGGAGCACCTGCTGAGCCCTCGCCAAGAGCCAGGCGTTGTTCTGGTAATTTATATATTTTTCTCACTTAATTGTCACAGTAATCCTATGAAGCAAGCGAGGACATACAGAGAGGGTAGGTGACTGCGTCAGGTCACACAGCTCCGCGCAGCCAGGAGAGAGATGTTCCTCTCCCAGGAGGTCTCGGGCCTAGGAACACAGCTGTGAAATTGTGTTTAGACTCATGGGGGAGGAAGAGCAGAAATACTATTTTTCTTATTTAAAGGAGAAAAATAACTATAAAAACTAAGAAGAAAACATTCTTTAAATTATAGTGTTCTTTATAGTTTTATGTTTATTAGTCCGTGAGCATTAAACCACAGTGTTCATTCACAGAGCAGCACCACACCCAGTGGTAGGATGCAGGTACTTTGGCATTGCTTTCAAACTTTCTTTTTAAAAATTTTGTTTTAAATAATAGGTTTATAAATGTTGCTGAGTTTGAAATATCTGTGGGGTTTACTTTTTTGTTTCTTAGTCTTTATTGGTTGGTGTGTTCTAGTTCCCTTTCTGTTGTGATAAAATACCCAGACCAAAAGCAACTAGGGGAGAAGGGTTTATTTCAGGTCACAGGCCCTCACTGTGGGGACCTCAAGACAGGAGCTTCAGACGGCTGGTCGAACCCCATCCACAGTCAAAGCAGAGATGAACACGACACGCTCGCTCGTGCTCAGCTTGACTTCTCTGCTGTTTAGGATCCCCAGTCTGCGGAAAGGTGCTACTCACGGTGAGCTGAGTCTTCCCACATCAACTGACTTAAGATGATCCCCCACAGGCCAACCTAATATAGACAAGTCTCCTTGTGACTCTTCTCCCAGGTAATTCTAAGTTGTGTGTAGTTGACAATAAAGCTATGATCACAGTAAGAAATAGTAAAGGCAAGAGAAACTATCATTATTTAAGAAGGAAATGAATTTGTGAGTTCCTGCCTCAGGACAACAGATGAGGAAGAGTGCAGAGGCCCCTGGTCTCACCTTCACACTCTGCTCTCACAGGTTTCCCTGCGAGCTGGGAGCCCTGGCAAGAGGGACACCTGTGCTTGGATACTCAGTGACAGAACATTTACAGGATTCTAGGGTTGTCCTCAGAGGAACCACCTTCAGAACAGGGTGAAATAGAGACAAGCCCTTGTAGCATAGTTAAAAACTAGCTTATAGTTTTTTTTATTTATTATTTTTATTTTATGTGTATGCATGTATTGCCTGCATGTAGGTAAGTGCACCCATGTCGTGCAATGCCCGAGGAGGTCAGAAGAGGCTGGTACTGGAGTTACCGACAGTTGTTAGCTGCCATGTGGGTGCTGGGATTCGAACCCGGTTCTTCTGCAAGAACAACCAGTGTTCTCAACCACTGAGCCATCTCTCCAGCCCCTGCTTATATTCTTTTTAAAAGATTTATTTTATTTTTAATTATAAAAATTAAATTGTATCCCTGTGCATATATACATGTGTGTACAAATGCCCTAAAAGGCTGGAAGAGAGCATTGGATCCTCTAGAGCTGAGGTTATAGGTGGTTGTGAGCTGCCCAGTATGGGTGCTGGGAACTAAACCCAGGTCCTCTTGGGGAGCAGTACTTGCTCTTAACTTCTGAGCCAACTCTCCAGCCCCCAGTTTATAGTCTTTTTGATGCTTTTTTTTTTTTTTTTTTGGTTTTTTTTGAGACAGGGTGTCCCTGTAGCTCCAGCTGGCCTTGAACTCACAGAGATCCACCTGCCTCTGCCTCCGCCTCCCACGTGCTGGGATTAAAGGCATGTGCCACCGTGCCAGGCCCTCTTTTTGATGCTTTTATAAAAAAACATTTTCACAAATTCTGAACTCTAAGGATCAGTCAGACATGAGACCAATTTTCATCATAAATCATTTTCATCTGGGCCTGGTGGTACAGGTCTGTAATCCTAGCTACTCAGGAGGCTGAGGCAGGAGGATTTCAAGTTCAAGGCCAGCCTAGTGAACTTAGTGAGACCCTGTCATGCATTAGATCCTGGGCTCATGTACCAGGCTAGAGAGATGGTCAGTGGTTAAGAGCACTAGCTGTTCTTGCAGAGGACCTGGGTTTGATTCCCAGCACTCACATGGCAGCTAACAACTGTCTGTAACTCCAGTTCCAGGGAATTCAACACCCTCTTCTGACCTCCATAGGCATTGCACAACACGGGTGCACTTACACGCATGCATGCAATGTACTCATACACATAAAAATAAAAATAATAAATTTTTTTAAAGCCCTATGTACAAGCCAAGCATGGTGGCACACACCTTTAATCCCAGCACTCAGGAGGCAGAAGCAAACAGATCTCTGTGAGTTCAAGGCCAGTCTAGACTACATAGTGAGTTCAGGCCAGCTGGGGCTACAGGGAGACCCTATCTCAAAAAGACAAAACAAAACAAAACCCTATGTACTACATAGCCAGGTGTGGTGACTCAAACCTGTAATCCTAGCTCTTGGGAGGTCGAGAAAGGACTGCTCATGAGTGCAGCTTGGCCACAGAGTGGGACCATGTCTCAAAAAAACCAACAAAACACAGTAAATATTCAAACAAAAGTAAGATATGGTTCCCATCCTTACACAAAAGAAGACGGCTGTGAGGAAGCATGGTAAGTGCAGAGCCACGGACAAGCGCGGAATGCTGCCAGGTGAGACACAGAGTGGGCTTCCTGGTGAGCACAGTGCTCAGACCAAGGAAGTGGGAAACCGGAAAAGCCACTTTTCATATGAGGGGGGGAATGTTCAAAGCATTCAGAGACCATGCTGAAAGTCACAAGAAACTGTCAAAGGACTTGAATAGGCGAGTAACACTTGGGATTTGGGAAGATCACCATGGTGGCAGCCCAAATGGAGGAAGGTGAATGTAAGACGGGACCAGAGAGGAAGTGGACAGAGTCGCAGAAAAAAGAGGAAAGGGGAATCAATGGGATTGACAAGCGGGTGATTAGATTCTTATTGATGTGGAAAATTCACAGGTAACTTTTTTATTCTTAGGCTGGCTAATGAAATATTTTTTTTCTTTTTAAAAAAATATCTTATTTTTATTTTATGTGTATGAGTGTATTGCCTGAATGTAGGTAAGTGCACCCATGTCATGTAGTACACACAGAGAAGAGAAGAGGGTGTTGGATCCCCTGGAACCGGAGTTATGGATGGTTGTTAGCTGCCCTGTGGGTGCTGGGAACTGAACCCGGGTCCTCTGCAAGAGCAGCCAGTGCTTTTTTTAAAAAAATATTTTTATTAAGGTTTTTGTGCATGCCATATACTAGATCTTAATCAAATTTAGATTCCCCCACTGGATTTCATGCATTCTGTCATATGTGTTAAGTCCTATCCGGTCAAGCATTTGCTCTTAACTACTTCTTTATTTTCCTTTATCACTTAAACATTCTAATTAACAAATAAGAATGTATATGCATTGTTTATAGCATGTTACTTACTTAAGGGACTTAGATACGATCTTCTAGGACATGTGGAGAGTAAGAACTGCAGAGGTCTGAGGGCACAGCTCTGGGGAACATGAAAATTACGAAGTCAACCAGAAGGGAAACGAGGGAGATGCAGAGGAATGGGGTCAGGAGTCACGTTAAAGAAAGATGTAGGAGCTGGAGAGGTGGCTCGGCAGGCAGGGGCTTGTACTGCTCTTGCAGAGATTCCCAGCATCCATGGCCAGTGGCTCACAACTGCCTACAACTGTAGCTCCAGGGGATCTGATGCCTCTGGCCTCCACAGGCACCTGCATTCATGTGCACCTCTCTTTCTGCCTCTGCTCCTGCCCCTGCCTCTCTCTCTCTCCTTCCCTCTCTCCCCACCCCATCAGTAGTAAAAATGAAATATTTTTAGAAAGAAAAGATCTTTTGAAAAAGTTCCAGTAACAAATCAGAAAGAAGTGGACTGATTTCAAACCAGCTAGGCCTGGTGGTGCGTGCTTATAACCCTAACACTCAGGAGGCTGAGGCAGGAGGATCGACCTTCTCTTTCACCTCAAATTGAGTCAAAGGGACACTGGCAAGTACCCCCTGGAGGTGAGCTCTAATATTGGTTACAGGAAGCTAAGGTAAGTACACACTATTCTCAGATACCCTGGAGACAAGATACGAGGGTGAGGACGCAGAGCATCACTGGGAAAGAATGTTGAGGGAAGTTCAGGCTGGGTTTTATTATTCGTGTTTGTTTTTAAGATAAAGGACACATTTGGATATTGAAGTAAAGACTCAGTTACGAAGGAATCAGTAAAGACAGCACTGAGTGTGTTTGTTATGGCATTTGTTTTAATGCGGCACATAAAATGACTCAAAAAACCAACAGGCCTGGTGAGTCTTTCTCCCTGATCTCACCTCTTTTTTATGTCTGTTCACCCCCAGATTCCACCTTAAACTATTTGGGAGCCAGGTTGCCTCTGTCATGTTTTAAAATCATCGTCTTGTTTTAATTTTAGCTTTGTCTTTTGAGACAGGATCTTGCAACGTAGACCAGGCTGGCCTCAAATTCCCAAACCTTTGGACCTCAGCCTCCCAGGTGCTAGGTCTGACTACTGCATGCACCATCCCACCCACCCATGTTATGAATTCTAATCCTTTCCATAACTGCATCATGTACAGGCCTGACATTCAGTGATGTGAGCAGCAAGGCCAGAGACCATTATAATCATAAAGTCAGAATTTATAGTCTCTGGCTAAGTCCTTTGTTATCCAAAGTCTATACCTCTCAGTAAAGTGCTAGACTCCTGGGTCAATCAGGACAGACTCCCAAGGCCAGCAAAAAATGAACACTGGTCCCTTGAGGGAAGAAGGCGTGTGCCATCCACAATGGACCTGGAAGGGTCCTAGGGTTCCAACACAGAGCCCAGATCTTAAAGGCAGCCATACCAAGCAGAGGCTGGGGAGCCTGTGGAGAGACAAGGGCTGTGAGGTCCCAGCAGAGTGCGCCCTTGTGTGTAGATATGGGGAGTGCAGTCTGGTCATCAGAACTGGGTCTGCATCTGAATGTTGGCTCTTTGGGTGATAACGGGAAAAATTTAGTACTTTTGAGCCTCAGTGTTTTCATCTCCAAGATGGAGGTGAAAATATTTTTCCTGAATTTATATGGTGAAAGAAGCCAAGCGTCTAGTGAGTGGCTGCCACTGCTTTTAGGATCATCACAGCAAGAAGGAGCCGAGGTGAACTTCACATAAGGGCGGAGAGACACAAGAAAATGGGTCAATGAGCCCCCAGAACCTCTCATTCTAGAGCAGTTACCTGGCTGTCCATCCCACCTTGTGTCCCCCGCCCTCCTCATCCTCCTGACCACTCACCCTTGATGGCCTCAGCTCCTGGGAGACTCAGCAGAAGAGCCAGGAAGAGGGCTCTCGGGACCACAGCCTTGGTCTGGAACATTCTGTCTTCAGAGCACATGCTGGGTACCTACAGTTGATGACTGTGGGCACGGAACTGTGATGAGGAACTCGGGCAGGACGGGGACAGACAGGAACTGTGAAACTGTGGGCTTCTACAGCCTGAATATAATAGTGAAGAGGATCAGCACGGCCAGGCTTAGCCAATCAGAGATGCAATAGAGCTGACGCTGCTGTTGCTGGGTAGAAAGAAAGCTGGAAGGGGCTAAAGAAAGGGAGACACTTAAGGCGTACAGCCAAGAAGCTAAGAAACTTCATAGAGTTAGAGAGGGGCTCGAGGAGCCGGCACACACTGACACCAAATGCTTGTATCACACTCTGGCATTGGATACTTAGTCACCCACTGTCCGTCTTGCCGCCCCTGGATCTTGTTTTTAAGAGGATTTCTCTAATATTTTCCTATTGCATGTAATGTTCATCTTTTGTTTCATGATTTTCTTTACTACACTTAAGAAATTATCATTTTAATGATTTTTATTTCCTTGGTATTTTTAGGTAAAGTGGCAAAGCACTTAGTTTTTGATGCACTAATTAAGCATATTATATATTTTTCTCATTTGTGGTAACCTTGCATAAACAGCACTCACAAGTTAGTTCAGGGTACTGTTTCCAGCGTCTCATCGTACTGTCTCATTTGCTCCACACATGGAAGCAGTATTACCAATGTCCACAGCAAATAAGTGATCTGAGGCACTGAGGAGCTCAGCAGTTCTCTAGTTGTCCACGGCAGACAAGTGACAGAGTTCTCGCCACGGACACGTCTGACACATCTCAGCTTTAACTTCACAGTTCTGTGCTGACTCCATACGGGCAGTAGATGTCTTCTGCTTTAGGAATTTTCCCTCCTCTTTGAGTTTATATGATGAAGTTCTATGTATCTCTAAGTAGTTGCGAAAGAAAGGATACTAGCGTGACACATCCATCAGAATTTGTTGTTCACCAGAGAATAACAGTCTTAGAAAGTTGGTCAAAGGCTGGGCAAGGTGGCGCACACCTTTAATCCCAGCACTCGGGAGGCAGAGGCAGGCAGATCTCTGTGTGTTTGAAGCCAGCCTGGTCTACATAGTGAGTTCCAGGCCAGCTGGGTCTACAGGGAGACCCTGTCTCAAAAAGATTTTTTTAAAAGTTAGTAAAAGTATTTGATAAATACAACATAATCAGGTATTTTCAAAGAGGTAGGGCTGTGATATTGGGGGGGTGGTCATTTACTGGTCTATTTTCAATCTCTATGGGCTTTCCTATTCCAAATCAGTTTCAGGTGTATTTTTGTCATTTGAATGTAACAGCACAGCTGTCATGTCAGCCCCACATGAAGACAAAGAACTAGAGTCCTTAAAAGGCCATGTCCATGCTTAAAGTCACACACTGATGTGGCTACCCAGCTGTGGACGTGCTCCCAGGTGTGAGGATCCTGGAAGGAGTCCTGCTGACCCTGTGCAGTCCTGGCCAGGCACCTGGGGCTCCTGTGCCTCTCAGGACCAGCAGACCTCTGAAAGAAAGTGTGGGTGGGTGATTCTCCTGAACATCTCCTTTAGCAGAAGTAAGGCAGACTTAGGGACTGTCTAATTTAAATTTTTTGGATACAAATCATTTTAATGAATGACTGACCATTTACACACTAAGATGGCACTTGCTCCATCCCAAGTCCTGTGGGTATATGGGAGATTGCAGGGATGATAGTCCCCAAAGATAGGTCAGCAGAATATTGGAGGTCACATTCAGAGCAAAGAAAACACTTGCTCCCTCCAAACCTCAAGACGTATCCAGCTGGTGAAAGCGAGCATTGCCTTCATCTCTGTCATCCCATCTGCATCATACTCTACATTGTGGGACCTCTCACACTAACCATCTGCCCAGTGAGAGATGACTCATAGAAAGCTTGATGCCCATTGGTTCTTTCCTCAGTTTGTCCAATCCCAGGGACATAGGAAACTTCTTCAGTCCTGACATTTCACCCAGGAGCCCCATTCTGTGAGTCCTTCACCCCCTGGCTGTTACTTTCCTCATCCCACCAGCCTCCTCCAGCTCCATGATGGTCTTGCCAGTCCCTGTGGCCCCCTGGACAGCAGCTCTGACAGTGTTGCTGATGGTGCTGAACAAATCTGTGGTGCAGGGCAGGACCACTCCAGGTAAGAACAGAGGACGGGGGCTATTTGAGGAAGACCTGGCTCGCAGAGCAACTAGCAGGGCCTTTCCCTATTGGGACCAGACTTTCAGAAATAAAGTAGGGACTCCTGCCACGGTCCATGTCCTTCCTTCCCAGCTAGAGATGAAGGCTCACCTCCTTGTTGCTGTTCTGTCAACTGCTCCCTCTCCCAGGGACACAGCCACAGTGAACGGGACAGAGGGCTCGGGGCAGCATGCGTACATCCTGTGCACAGTGGACCAGAGTTCTAGAATACATTTGCAAGACAAGGTTTTCAGAGAGGTCAGCAGGGTCAGCCCCTGGTATCACCATGTCTGCACACAGCCTTGAAGGGGCTCTTCGGAAAGGTGCCCTCTGCTCCCCAGGTGGGGCGGGAGTCTGGAGAGGAGGGGTGCCCTGCTCCAACACTGTTCTGGTTGAAGGTGATTCTTCTAACATTCCCAGAGCTTCACTAGAGTCTTGGAGTAAGCTGAGATTTCTGAGAGGGGAAGAAGGACTTGCCCTTGTTAGTCACTGAGGTCTGAGAAACAGCCATAGGGACCGCTCCCCCATGGGAACTGCCTTCAAAGTCCTGGGAAATGGAGAGGGGGATGGCTGGGAGATGGAGAGGAAGGCAGAGCTTGGAAGTATTAGGATGACAGACCAGCAGCGAGTGAGGGGTTGGCACTGGCACCCTGTAGAAAAGTCCTGGAATAAAGGGTAGTGGAAGTCCTGGAGGGCATACCGGAAGTGGGGTGAACTGCTACAGGGGTACCTAGGAAGGGGGAAGGGTAGAGAGGCAAAGGGTGGTTGAGACCTGTAGGCAGAGTAAGATGAGGCTGTGTACATGTGAAGGGATTGAAGGTAGGCTGCTGCCCAGCACAGGTGTTCAGTGAAAACTGCTGGAGCCATGAGAGAGCACAGGCAGAGAGCACAGGATGACACAGCCCTCCCACGCTCAGCACCACACTGATCCCCAAGCTCAAACAGGAGAAAGGAAAGCACCAGGCAGCAGGCTTGGCCTAGGGGGCTGGGGGAGAAAGGTTGGAGCGAGAGGTGGCACAGGCTCTAACAGACTTTTAATATGTGTGTCCCTGTGCCCCAGGGCACCAGAGCCACACTCCCAAGTCCCTGCCACACCAGCTGGACACTTGCTGATCACTGTGCACCTGAGACTTTGTGAGCTCACTCTTCTGTGTTTTTGCTGCTACTGTTGTTGAGGCAGTGTCTACTAGCCCAGGCTGGCCTCAGACTCATAGTCATCCTCCTGCCTCAGCTACTCGAGAGCTGGGATTATAAGTGTGGCTTACCGTGCATGGCTCTCTTCTGTCATTTTAATCCTCCCAAGTAAATGTGTTAGATAAGTGGGCATGGTGGCACATAGACCCTCAGTCCCAGTTACTCGGGAGGCTGAGGCAGGATTGCTCTGTCCAGGAGTTTGAGATCATTTGGGCAACATAGACAGACTTTGGAAGAAAAACACCACAAACCTAGGATAAGTGAAAACAAGATGGGAAATACGCTCATCAAACGTCAGCAGAACTCTTTATCATTAACGTCTGGTCCCTTGAGATTTCCAAGCAGCCAGTGAGCTGAAGGAGTCCCTCCCTCCTGTGAATAGATCACACATAAATCAGTACTGAGCACAGCAGACAACCACGCTGTACATTTCACATGTGTGAATTTCGTTCTTACAACAACAGTTCTTCAGACTAAATGGCGTTATTAATGTCATACACTTCAAGAAATAGAGGCTCGGAAGGTTGTTTCTTGCCCAAGATGAAACAGTAATAAGTTGTAGTGAAACCCTCTGGTGCCTCCACTGATCCCCCTGCAGTTCTGAGAGAGCTAAATTCACTTTTACATCTGTGATTCTCAAACTGCTCTGAGTAACTCAGTGAAGGATTCCACCAGTGTCCCTCAGTTTCTCATAAAAAAAAATGTTCCAAATTGCATTTAAAGCCCCACACATCAGTTAATGCCTGCTCTTCAGGTGAAGTTCTACTTTTAAATGTTGAGAATTGCTGAAGAAAAGTTTCAAAATTATTCTTCCTGACTGAAAGCAATTCTTAATGATAAATGAGAAGAAATAAGAACAAATTGAAATCAGCAGATGCACATTAAGAGCCAGTCAGATGAACAGGAAGAGGTGGGCCGCTGAAGAGGGAAGAGGATGGACTCCAGGAGGAGGTGGGTCAGGGTGTAGGCATCAAGCCTGGATCCAGGCTGAGGCTAACGCTGGACTCAGGCTGTTACGATGCCTCTAAGGTCAGCCCCACCTCCCCCTTCTCTTCCCTCCCCAGCTGTGCAGCTCCCCTTGAGTCCTTGGTAGGACAGAGCCCACCAGATGAGCCAGTTCTGCTAGCCATCACCATGGTGAAGGAGGGAAGCATCCCATCATCCCTACAGTCACCTCTTCCTGCTACTGGAAGTTCCAGGCCTGCTTTCTTCCCACCTCGGGAAACATCCCCAGTGTTTGCAACTACAGCAAACAGAGCGGCGCATCTGGGGCTCCAGGCTCCTTTGGGCTTTATCCTCTCCCAGTTCTTAGTCTTCCCATGATATGATTTTTTTTTTAAGTTAGGGGCATTCTATTTTAAAACCCATTGGCAGTTCCTCCAATATCAATATGGTCTCCAAAGTTGTAACATTGATTGATCTAGCATTTACATTTTTGAGATCCATTTTTCCTTTTCAGGTTTTTTTGTTTTGTTTTGTTTTCCTTTTTGAGACAGTGTCTCCCTGTAGCCCCAGCTGGCCTAGAACATGCTATGTAGACCAGACAGGCCTCGAACTCACAGAGCTCCACCTGCCTCAGTCTCTTGAGTGCTGGAATTACAGGTCTGTACCACTATACCCGACTCTGATATCCTTTTTAATGAAACAATAGATTGCTTATTCTATTTAGTTTACTATTTGCAGTGCAGCCAGTGGGACCCAGGGCCTGATAAGGCCTCTATCATAACCAGCTGCATCCTCAGCCCCAGATTTCTTATAACAATACACACTAATAGCTGGTCATGGTGGCGCACACTTTTAATTCTAGCATTCCAGAGGCAGGAGGATTTCTCTGAGTTTGAGGCCAGCGTGCTCTACATAGCAAGTTCCAGGCCCAGGAGGGCTGTATAGTGAGACCCTGTCAAAACAAAAACGCAATAAACCTGTTTAGAGCGCCCTCTTGTGGTGTAAGCTCGTCATTCACATTATCTGTTCAGCGATGCAGAAAAATTGAGTACACTAGACTTTGGACGTAAAAAGAAGATGGTAGGCTTTTGCTTCGAGGTGTTACTTTGGAGAGAATGAAACATGAAAACCAGTCACACCATCTTAACTTTCCTGATACGGGTGAGAACAGAGCAGACCCAAACATACTCAGAGAAGCAAACAGAAGTGACCAGGAACGCTGCTGTTCTCGTGCACGTACGGACTTGCCAGGCACCTCCAGCGCTTTCCCAGGAATAGGGCAAAGGCTCCCATGTTTCCTTTTTGGTCTTTTTGAGACAGGGCTTCCCTGTAGCTGTCCTGGAACTCACTACGTAGACCAGGCTGGCCTTGAACTCACAGAGATCCGCCTGCCTCTGCCTCCCGAGTGCTGGGACTAAAGGCGTGCGCCACCACGCCTGGCCCCCCATGTTTCTTTTATAAATATGACATCATTAAAGATGACATCATCAATGCGCGAAGAGTGCTCACCTGCTGTAGAGTTCTGGGGTTTTTGTTTAGTTTGGGTTTTGTTTTGTGTTTTTTGAGTCTCACTTTGCAGCCCAGACTGGCGGTGTCTTGCGGCAACCTTCCTGCTTCCACCTCCCCGGTTCTGGGATTCCAGATGTGCTGCCACCCCACGCTCTTGCCTCAGTCTCCCGCCTGTTCCTCTAGCCTTAGATCTCCTGCCCCATGAATTGTTTACTTGGCGTACAGAGTGATGGGTTTTGCTGTGGCACTTGACACGCACTCCACACTTTTTAGGAGAGTCTTTCTACAGCCGTGTTTGAAAAAAGTAAAACAGTATGTTAACTTCCAGGCTAGGAAGCTTTTCTTTTTTTTATGTGTGTGCGCGCACATGTGTGTGCATACATGCATGCATGTGGAGGTCAGAGGACAACCTGCAGGAGCTGGTTCCCTGTCTCTACCTTGTGGGTCCTGGGGGGAATCCAATGGTCCTCATCAGGTGTGGTGGCAAATCCCTTTACCTCAGAGTCATCTGGTTGGCCCGGAAGTTTTTCTTAGACCTAGCTTTAAGAACATTTTAGGAAATGTCTCTCCAACTCCAGCACACGAACAGGGGTAGATTAGGGCAGACGCTGGCACAGAAGGGAGCAGCACCTCGTTGTGGAACGAGAGGAAATGAAGAAGGCTTCCTGGAGGAGGTGACATTTGCACCAAGGCTGTCCTGGTGGCCTTGTCAGTCAGGAGCTGGTCAGCCTCACTCTCCAGGCTGCAGTCCTGGTCGCCCCCACCCCCACCCTC